AATCAAAATATATATATATATATATATATATATATATACATGTCCTTTTATAGCCGGAAAATACGTCAGAGATCGTCAGCATTTGCATGTTTCGCGATTTCCATGTGACTCGTTTGAATTGCAAGTCAAATAAAAATCAACCCGACCGTGGATTAGCATAACAACGTTTTTATTTTCCCCGTCGTTGCAATTCGGGAAATTAATATTCCCTGAACGCGGTTACATTAGAAAGGAGACGAAAAGATACAACTTCCTTGAAAAATGCGTTTATCGTTGTTTTTCATATACCGATCTTCATCTCGAAAATTCGTCGAACGAATAATTTTCTCATTGTTTCCTTAAAAAAAAGAAACATCGAAAATTTTGAGAAGAGAGAAAAGTTTGAAAATGCTTTGAAATTTTCGTTCGCAACGACAAGATAAAAATTCTCAAGTTTAAAATCCTGTTTTAAAAAGTTCTTTGCTGGTCAATATTATTCCGATGGAATGTAGTTTATATTAGCAAAATTACGAATCTATCTAAAGAGAAATTTTAAATCATTCAACGTTCTATAAATCTTACAAATTCTAATTCTAAGTATATAAGGTGTTAATATATTTAGAAATCACCTTTAGAGGATCGATTCTAGGGGCCAAAACAAACACAAAATTTGGCGTGCAAAAATATCGGTCGAGACTTATTTATTAAGTTGCGAACAATTTGAGTTTACACTGAAGCGAATGCGATGATGATATAATAATATAACGAGAAAAAGCGATCTGAGTCTATTTTCGTTTCATTTCAACGCAAATTTCAATTGTCGTGTATCAACAATTTTGCGTTTGCTTTGGCCTCTAAAAATTGTTTCGAATATATCAACATTTCTTTCGATCCCGATAAACGAAAGATATGAAACGAGGATATTATAAATATTAGAAATAAAAAAAATATATACGTATTGCTTTATGCTAATTCATCATTAATGATTCAACATCTATGCGTACTATTATAATTTAATTCAACCTAATTCAATTTCACTTAACCGTAAACACTTCAACACTTTCAACGCCATCTTTTCCCTCCCGCAAATTTTTATCCCATTTCTATCCATAAATTTCCAACGACTCAGAGTATATTGTCGAATAACATTCAATATTCAAGCAACAATCTTGAATACTTGAATTGGTTCATCGTTCGAGTTACTTATGAAAAGTTTGTCACCACGAACGTGAGATTCAGAGATCGATATCAACGTGTGGAAACGATGCTGCTGGCATCGAAACCCTTGGCTCGAGCGTTTCGATCCAACCCTAACGCGACATTCGACGCAAACCAAGGTTCGCCCCGTCACGTAGCAAGTAATATGCAAATGACATATCGTCACGGTGAAATTTATTCATGGACGAGGCTGCCCGCAGCTGCGGCTTCGAAGTTCCCCCGTAGACTCCTCTGTATCCCCTCCTCCCTCTCCCCCCTCCAAAATTGTCGTAATGAACTTACACGCTCGTGCGAAACTTGCGCCTTACCACCACCCCTCCCTTCCTTCCGATCGTGGTCCAATTTTAATGATGGAACAAATCAGTGGTTCTCGTAATTTTTGAACCGTATAAAATGTAGTTCTCTCGAATTTTTGAAGTTGGAGAGATCTTCTTCCATTCTCGAGAAGAGAGAATATTTGAAAATTTTTTTTTATAAGCGAATTTTGATATTATGGATTTATATATTTGGATTTATTTAGAGAAATATCTAAATAATTTTCTTTTTCCACAGAATGGTCTTTTAGATTGATTAAATCTTTGACAATTTTCTTGAGAATGTATGA